TATATATATACTCTATATACTATACAAAATTACCTTTACACTTCCTTCTTATTTAGAAAAAAAAAACATATTGCAATGCAATCTGGATTTCCCCTTTAAATGTACAAATTGTTGTCTTCCTCTTTTTGGTGATAAAAGAAGTCTGGGGACTTACATTGTCACATAACAATATTGGAAGTTGGCCATTTTATGAGCCCTGTATAGGCTAAATACAAATTCCCTTTAAGCTTCACTTTCTAAAAAGTCAGAATTTGCATATGCATACAGGAAGTATCACTCAGTCTTAGATCCTCAAATCATCTCTGAATTGGTGCTGGCACTGTCCTTCTTTCTGGAGGGGGACTACTTTTGTTCCCCATGGTCCCTGTGTGTTGTAAAGTAGTCACCGCTCCAAGATTGCTCCTTTGATGGACTACAATCTTACGTTTGGGTTACAGATTTGTATTGAGATTGTAGTCCATCACAGGAGCGAGCTTGGAGCAGTGACTACTTTACAACACACAGGGGCCATGGGGAACAAAAGTAGTCACCCTCCAGAAGGAAGGACAGTGTCAGCATGAATTCAGAGATGATGTAAGGATCTATAGCTGACTGATACACAAATAAGATACCTTTTTATTAATAGTTAAGGTACTTGAATGCATTTTTAAGATTTCACTCCTGAGTTTAGTGTCACTTTAAAATTACATTACATATTATCATTAAAATATAATGAAGGGAATTTATCAAAACTGGGACACAATCTGGAGCAGCTGTGAATGGCAACCAATCAGTTTCTTTCATTTTCAAACCTTATCTGAACAAAGAAGCTGATTGGTTGCCATGCACAGCTGCTCCAGATTTTGTCTGCTCCAGTTTTGATAAATCCCCCCCAGTGTGTGTAAATGTCAGCTGTATATGAAAACTGTGTCTGCCTTTTCTTTCAGCCGGCTCCTGAGACGGTGTACGCCAACAGAGCTGCCTTAGCTCACCCTCCGGATGTCGTGTATTCTGATTTAAGACTAAACCGACCTTAACAACTTTCACTGGAAGTGAAGCACAATGTATTTGTGTCTTCCTGTTAGTGTCACTCAACTCTCCATTGTCAGGATTTGGGATGATGTCACCTTTGTGTCACTATCATGGATTTAAAGAGGTCAGCTGAGTGCTTGCAGGAAGTGTAACCAGAAGCTTAATCTTGGCTCAATTTCAGTGCTGAATTGACGCTTATTTGCCAAGTCAATATATGTAGATCACAATGGTGTTGACAGAGCTGGGTTGTCAATGGCCATGGTTTTTCTTGAGCAAAATTCTAACAATGAATGTGGTTTTCCTTCGAGAGACTCCATTCATTCCAAAATGGAGTGTCAGAATCAAACAAAGCTTCGAACAACATCAGTCAAGTCTCTGATGGGTACATCAAACATTCTGACAAATATCTACCAGTTTTAGATCACCTCAATGTACCACATCTAAGGACTATTAATATAAATTATTGGTTTAGTAATTCTTTAGGATAAGAGGTATCATGTAGACATGTGCGATTCGTTTTGTTCCAAATCAAAATTCAGATGCATTTTACGAAATTCGGACACATCTGAATTTCTGAATCACAATGCATCCGAATCCGAATTTCCGTTTCATGTGACTTTTCTGGCCAATCAGCTGTGTTTTTCTGTTTAATGCATCCGAATGGGTCTGAACACGAATTTTCGTTACGGCAACATGGGAGCCATATACAGTATATACATATAATACTAAAGCTGAGGCTCCTAGACCCGAATGGCAATTTGGAAATTCGGATCCCGAATGCCATTCGGGTCTAGGAGATTATGCTTTAGTCTTAATATCTGTATATAGTTTTCTGTTTTACTCGCAACGAATATTCGAAAACTCATCCGAAACTAACAAAATTTGGATTTCAGCCAAATTCAGAACCTGAATGCCATTTATGTCTGGGAGCCATATACATATATTACTAAAGCTGAGGCTGCCATACCCCATTGGCATTCAAGAGCTCCCGAATGCAATTGGGAAATTCGGATCCCGAATGCCATTCGGGTCTAGGAGATTCAGCTTTAGTATTAATATCTATGTATGTTTTTTTATTTTACTCGCAATGAATATTTGTAAATTCCTCCAAAACTAACGAAATTCGGATTTCATCCGAAACCCGAACCGAATTGAATTTTGGATCCGAATCCAAATCCATAATGAAATATACCAACCATTCAAATTTACCCGCAGCTTACATGTCTAGTGTCATGCTAGACATGGAAATCTCTAAAATGCAGATCTTTCCTTCAGTTTTAATAATGAGAAAATCAAATGTTTTTAGGGTACAAATAACTGCAAGCTGTGAAAACACTTACTACTGCATACATTGTAAGTACGAAAGGGCCTTAATAGAATATACATACAGTTTAAATGCTAATAATACAATTTAGTTGGTACATTATAGCTGCTTAACTTCAGCCACTTTATTAGGTTTTGGATAGAGTGTGGAAATATTAAAATGTTTTTTTTTTTGAGCATGTCATTTTTATTGAATTTTTAATGGATAGACAGCAAGAAGGATCAAAGTATTATAAGATGATACAATACCATAGTATTGGAGGTACATGGTAATCACTCAGCCTTGTAAATAGAGTTGGAGTACTAAATTATATAGGATACATTATAAAAGATTTACATCTCTATCAGCAGCATGTACCCATATTAATAAGCTTAAAAGCAAAATCATAATAACAGAACAAAATAAAATGTTTCTTGTTAATTATGTCACTAAACTCAGGAGTTCAATCCTAAAAATACATTCAAGTACCCCGACTATTAACAAAAATGTATCTTATTTGTGTATCACTCGGCTGTAGATCCTCAAATCATCTCTGAATTGGTGCTGACACTGTCCTTCTTTCTGGAGGGTGGCTACTTTTGTTCCCCATGGTCGGTCCCCGCTCCAAGCTCGTTGATTTGATCCAATTCACTATCAGAAAATCCAACAAACGTTCCAAAATGAATTTATTCCAACAAAAATTCTACTGGGGGTGCATGGACAGCTTTAAACTCTTGGCAGTAAGCAACCAATCATTGTAATTTTATTTTAGTGTATTAGAAAATTTGTTGTGCCAGTGTACTAAAATGATAACGCACTGTCATTCTGTACTATTTTTTCTTATCAAGAGAATTTCTACCTATCAGGGCAGAGTGGAAGGGAAGATTTTACTGTGCTCTATAAATATCACCTTTTGGAGTTCGGCCAGATTAAAGTCCAGCAGTGACATTTTCTGTGTCTCTGGCCTAGAGACATAGACCTTGTCAGGGCCCCTGGGGATTTCCAAAATGCTTTGATGAGTCTGACTCCTAGTACAGGCGCAGGATGTAGAAGGGCGATATGAGCTCCTAAAACAGGGTTATGATGAAATGATGGTTCTGAAGAAAGAAAAACAGGAAGGCAAGATATAACTGCAAAGAAACCTCCCCTTTTCCAGCCTGGCTAAACATTGTTTAAGGGAACTATACATAAACATAAAGGAAACCTGTGCTCAGGGCCACAATTACAATTAGGCATAGTAGGCTTGTGCCCAGGGCCATCCTCACCATATATGCCACCTGAGGCAGTAGGGGAGGTGAAGAGGCTCAACTTTGCTGCTGATAGTGCTGGGGGGTGCTTTGCGGCAGGAACTACACGCCAGGTGCACTTAACTGCCGGCGGCCATGTTGGTGATGGACACTGGCAGAGAGAGGAAGGGACGTTCATCCAGCAGGATAAGGTATGCCATCAGGTCCCCTCCTCTCTCGTGCAGCTGTCGGGCTGAGTGCCCGACTTTTCAGAAGGGGTGACACCATAATGACAGTCATTTTGGTGTCACCCCCTCTGATGCTGTCATCTGGTGCGGGCCATTTGTGACACCACTTTCTTCTGGAGGGTGGTTACTTTTGTTCCTCATGGTCCCTGTGTGTGTTGTAAAGTAGCTACCGCTCCAAGCTCACTCCTGTGATGGACTACAATCTCACTTTTAGTTTACTAGTTTGTATTGAGATTGTAGTCCATCACAGGAGTGAGCTTGGAGCGGTAGCTACTTTACAACACACACAGGGACCATGAGGAACAAAAGTAACCACCCTCCAGAAGAAAGTGATACACAAATAAGATACATTTCTGTTATTAGTTAGGGCACTTGAATGTATTTTTAAGATTTAACTCCGGAGTTTAGTTTCACATTAAATAGAACTTTTTCAGAGATATGTGTAGATGACAGCAAAAAGAGGGACAATTGGGAGAGAAGGATTTGGTTGCAAATGAGGGAAAGTTGGGATACATCGGGAAGTATGTTTGCCAGCCTTTGGGTGAGACTTCATTTGCATATCGCTGCCCTGCAATACAGAACACAGACAACCAACAAGAAGCAAACAGAAAAGGGCTACTACATATACGCATTTGGGGGCTACAAGAAAATGACCATTGGTCAAGAGTTCCCATTTCTTTTTGACAGCCAGTGACTCAAAAAGCCAGACAAAAAGACTCCATCGTAAAGGAGAACTATGGGGTTAGGGCTTTTCCCCATACTTCTCCTTAGGGTAACGGGAGGACACAAACTAGCGTCCTCCCATCATCCTAAGCACAGTATACTGCGAGCTACAGCTCGCGGTATACTGAGGCACCGCAGCGGAAGCGGATCCCAGCAATTATGTCTGGATCCGCCCAGCTGCGTGAGTGACAGCTGGCTCTGCCTATCTAGAGGCAGGGCCAGCTGTACCCGCCCCCTCCCCGTCCGTTACGCCAGTCAGCGCTGGAGGATCGGAGCGGGGAATCCAGCCCCTCCCCTGTCACGACTCTCTGCCGTGACAGGATCCAGAGGTGAGCGAACGCCGGTATGTGTTCGCTCACTTGCCGATCTACTGAGCCGACCTGTGACAGTCTCATTGTCACTGGTCGGCTAGACCTGAGTGAAAAGCACTCACCTCATAGTTCTCTTTTAAGCAACCAAACCCAAGTATAGAATACCAGACTGTACGATCACAAAAAACAGATGGACGCCTAAAAGGCGAAAACTCCCCACCACGGCCACAGACAGCAATAAAAACCCCCACAAAACCCCAAATTCAAGTTTTTGTTTTGTCTTTATTTTACTCTTCAGCAGTATTTTTGTTGTTTCTGTAAAATGATGTAGTTTTTGTTTTATTTTATATTTTTTTCTTTTTTACTAATTGTAATTACATTTTTTATTGTATTTTATTTTAGCTAATTACGTTATTGTAGATGCTTTGCATCATGACTTATTTTTGTAATTGTTTTGTAGGCTGTTTAGGGCACATTCAAGTGGGCGCTCTGGGGCAGACACTGGTGAAAATCAGCGGACGTGCACATATGAACAGGCATGTCTATTCATATGCAACCACTCCTCTGAGCAGTTACAGGTGATTAGGGATTCTGACCAGTCCTGGACGCAGACATATTGTGTTCAGGGACAGTGTTTCTGGTCGTGTTCAAACTGACCGCTGCCAATCAGCCAGTTTGTATGCACCCATAGCACAGGGTGCTGCTATACTCAGCAGTGTTTAGTCACCTCTGAACGCAGCAGTTTATCCGCCCCATATCACCCGTTTGATTGAGCCAAGCACAAAGATTAAGGTGGAGCTGCTAAGTACGGTAACATCTACCAACCAATCACACTTCACCTTATAGGTCAGAGATGTGAAAGATGATTTCTGATTGGTTGCTCTGGGTTACAGTGCTTTGCCCTTTGCTTTTAGCTTTATTGTGTCAGTATAAATGTAAATATGGACACACCATGCTCTAAAAAGGGCATTTTAATTGAAGGCGCAAGTTTTTAATTCAGGGAATTTTTAGAGCTTATTGTTTACTTTCAGGAATAACTCTGATGAAGAAATGTAAATATATTGGTTGTATATAGTCATTTAGTTAAAATAAAAGTATTTGTGTATATTTGATACAAACCTGATTTTTTTAGAACAACTCCGGGCAAACAAAAAACATACCCTTGCATTGGGGCTACACTTGCGTTGTAAAGGT